GGATTCTGGAGGACCTGTTAAAGTCTCACTGAGATGGTAACTTCTCAGAGGGGTCCTACCTCTCCTTATCAATGATACTGAGTTCCAGTCCATAGGTCCAAACTTTAACCCTTTATTTCCCAGGACTCAACTGAGGTCAGGTAGACAAGGAGATAACCTAATGAAAATGTAGGGCCACCCACGTAGCCACAAGGAAAGCCAAGGACTTTCTTGTAAGCAGGCTTTTGCAGCCTGGCCTGGAGTCCCCCAAGGAGCAGTGCCCAATCCTTGAGGCTTCTGGAATGTGGGGGTTCTTCCCAACATTTGCTTCCCCCCGGATCTGGACAGTGCTTGTGTTAGAAAGGGATAGTGGAGGAATTGCTCCTCAGCCGCTTGAGGGCCAGTCCACCCACAGTCACTCACTGTGGTGTGTCCACGTCTGCAACACATACTTCCTGTGGTTGGTGAGTCCGTGGCAGTGTGGGGGCTTCCTGCTATACTTCTAGCTGGAGGATAGGGAGCACCCCACACTTTGGGGCCACAGAGGACTTGGGAACCTTTTGGCCGCTGCTCCTGAGAATGCTTACTGCTTTTTTTCTGTTTCTTACTTTCTTTTCTTTTTTCTTTTTCTTTTTCTTTTTCTTTTTCTTTTTTTTTTTTTTTTGGTTTCAAGATGAGTTTCTCTGTGTAACAGTCCTGGCTGTCCTGGAACTCACTTTGTAGACCAGGCTGGCCTCGAACTCACAGACATCTGCCTGCCTCTGCCTCCTGAGTGCTGGGATCACAGGCATGCGCCAACCACCGCCCGGCTGAGATTGCTAACCCTTACTGCGTTGTGTGCTACCACACACAGTTAAAGCTGTCTGTAGCAATGGTAGCCAGCTGGCAAAGCCTTCCTTCCATAGGTTAACCAACTCTCTTAATCTTGGATGCAGAACTCAGTCCTCAAACTCAAAATATCCAGGGTCAACCATGGTGAGCTGGCCTCCAACACCCAAAGCCAGAGGACTTTATCTGCTCCTGGGGAAGATACTCCAGGCTTGGGGCGGCAGAGGGTGGATGGAGTTGGTGGCCCCTAGACCCTGCAGTCTCAGACACCTAACCAAACCTGTGTGACCAGATTCCTGGAGGCCCCTGGAAGGCTTCAGGAGCCTCTAGGCGGGCTGGGCTCTATTGGTTCTACTTTGCAGCTCATCCCTCATAACCTGCTGTGAAATCCATGCTGCAGGAGGCGGATGAGCTGGACAGATCTGACCTCACTGCAGAGTGCTGGAAACTGGCCACAGATCTGAAGAATCTCCTAGTTCTGACTTGGAAACTGCAGAAAAGCTATCCGCATTGGCCATCAAATGGCTGGTGTGTAAAAATGTACTTGCCAACAAGCCTGACCATCTAATTCCTGGGCCCCGCGTAGAGGAATGAGAGCAGCACAAACTACTGGGAACTGTCCTCTGACCTCACACATGCAGTGACAGCTGGATACCCACAGACACACACAGCACACATAAATAAGTAACATTCAGCAAGACTGTCTCAGCTTGAAGGCTGGAAAGAGTTCTGAGTGTACACCGCTCTTCCCGTGAAACAGAGCTCTGCTCCCAGCACACATATTGATTGGCTCACAACCACCTGTAACTCGGTTCCGGGATCGGATGCCTCTGTCTTCTGCAAGCACCTGCACTCACATGCACATATCCACATATACGTCTCCCCCAAAAATTAAGATTTCTTTTCTTTTCTTTTGGGGGGGGTTGAGACAGGGTTTCTCTGTGTAGCCTGGCTGTCTTGGAACTCACTCTGTAGACCAGGCTGGCCTAGAACTCAATTCACCTGCCTCTGCCTCCAGAGTGCTGGGATTAAAGGTGGGCGTCATTATGGCCCAGCAAGGAAACAAAAATTTAAATAATATATTAACTTAAAAAAGTTTTTTTGTTTTGTTTTTCTTTTTTTTCTTTCTTTCTTTCTTTTTTTTTTTTTTTTTTTTTTTTTTTTGAGACAGGGTTCTCTGTGTAGCCCTGGTGGCCCTGAACTCACTCTGTAAACCAGGCTGACCTCCAGCTAAGAGAGCTGCCTGCCTCTGCCTCTGTGCTGAGATTAAAGGTGTGCACCAGCACACAGGGCAAAAAAGAAACTTCTAATACTCTGGGGTCTGAGAAGGCCATCTCAGCAGGGAGAGGTAGATGGGTGATCTCAGCCCACTTTTCAGACCAGGTGACTAGCACTGGCCTTCATTTATTTATGTGGTGGGAGAGGTTCTCAAACTTTTTGGGGTCACAGCTTTCTTTGTAATCTGATGATATCAAACTTCTCTTCCAAAAAGTGCTAAAACCTATACCTAGAAATGATGAGTGGGCCACACCCCTGGGTTCCAATACCCACCTTCATACACATGGAGTAATGAGATGTCTAAGCTGGCAGACATCACTACCTGAGTTCCATCTCCATGCCCCCATGACAGAAAGAGAACTGACTCCTGCAAGCAATCTTTCACAAATGCATGAGCACACACACACATGAGCACACACACACACACACACACACACACACACACACACACACACACACACTGTGATTCATGCATAAATAGTAAATTAAAGAAAAAGCAAAACAAAACCTTAGCTGGGTAGTGGTGGCACATGCCTTTAATCCCAGAGTAAGCATTCTCAGGGAACAGGGGCTGCACAGTAAAACTCTGTCTTTTTAAAAGAGAAAAGAAAAGCCGGGCATAGTGGTGCATGCCTTTAGTCCCAGCACTCAGGAGGCAGAGGCAGGCGGATCTCTGTGAGTTTGAGGCCAGTCTGGTCTACAGAATGAGTTTTAGGACAGCCAGGGCTACACAGAGAAAACCTGTCTTGAAATTATAAAACAAAACAAAACCAAAAACCATAAAAACTACACATACACACAAAAACCAAAACAAAAAACTTTGTAAAGGCCTAAAAACATAGTAGGGCAACACCTAAATCCCTGTGTATGTGTGTGTGTGTGTGTGTGTGTGTGTGTGTGTGTGTGTGTGTGTGTGTCTCCCAGCCTGCCCAGATCAAGGTTTACTCTGTGATAAGAGGTTGTCCTAACCTACACCTTGAGAAGCCCCTCACTTCTGCTCCTCTTTGTCCTTTTTCAGGGCTAGGAATGGAACCCAGGGCCTGACGTGTATGCGGGGCAAGTTCCCTACCCCAAGCCACACCTCTGACATCTCCCTTTTTATTAGTGTATAGTATTTTTTTCATTTTTCTTTATTAAGACATTTTCTACCCACTCCACATACTATCCACAGATTCCCCCCTCCTCCCTCCTCCCACCTCCCTAGTGTATAGTATTTACTCTCCAATATTACAGGTGTCGTGATGACATTCGCAATGTATATCACAGACTTTGCTAACACATACTCCTTTTTCCTTTCTTAAAAGATTTATGTGGGCCAGGCAGTGGTGGCACAGTCCTTTAATCCCAGCACTCGGGAGGCAGAGCCAGGCGGATCTCTGTGAGTTCGAGGCCAGCCTAGTCTACAGAGTGAGATCCAGGACAGACACCAAAACAACACAGAGAAACCCTGTCTCAAAAAAAGCTCCCCCCCCCCCCCCCCCCCCCCCCCCCGCAAAAAAAAAAAAGATTTATGTGGGTGTACCTAAGTGTATATATGTGTATTTTCTTTTCTCTCTCTCTCTCTCTTTTTTCTTTTTTGAGACAGGGTCTGGGATTAAAGATATTTGTCACCACACCAGGCCAGGCCTCCTTTTTTCTTTTCTTTGTTTGTTTTGTTGGTTTTTTTGAGACTGAATTTCTCTGTGTCCTGGAACTTGCTCTGTAGGCCAGGCTGGCCTCAAACTCACAGAGATCCACTTGCCTCTGCCTCCCAAGTGCTGGGATTAAAGGTGTGAGCCACCACTGGGGCTGGAGAGATTGTTCAGTGGTTAAGAGCACTGGCTGCTTTCTAGAAGTCCCAGGTTGATTCCAGTGCCCACCTGGTGGCTCACAACCACCTGTAATGCTAGTTGCAGGGAATTTAATGCTCTCTTCCTGGCTTGGCAGGCACCAGGAACGCGTGTTGTACAGATAGACATGCAGGCAAAACACCTGGGTTTCAGGATGCTGGCCTGGCCTCTGATGGAGTTTTTTGTTTTTGTTTTTAAATAATAGTCCTCAGAAGCTGAGCATGGTGGTACACACCTTCAATCTTAGGACTTAGGAGTCAGAGGCAGGCAGATCTCTGTGAGTTCCAGGCCAGCCAGGGCTATGGAAAAAAAAAAAAAAAAGCCTCAGGAGTTCCTAGCCTCCGGCCCTCCAGGGGATTGTTTATGACTTCCATGACCTCCCTGAGATATGCACATCTTGGCAGGATTGTGCTCCCAGGTGAAATGCAGGCTCTTTAAGTTTTCTCAACTGAGTCTCTGGGCCAAAGAGGTTAAGCCAGCTAGTCCTCCCTTGTACCCCTGGTAGGGTCAGAATTTGAGCTGAAATCAGGTAGCACTTTGTGAATGGAGACTCTAAGGGGTCTTTTTTGTGACCTGAAAGTCAGGGTTTAGGGACATTTTAATCCTCTGGACCTCACCCCCTTGCCCACCTCCATGGTGTCTGGGCTTGGCTGGCTATTCTTGTGACTATCGGAAAGAATACCCTATTCCAGGGTCCCACTTGTCCCTTCTTGTCCCAGGCCTCTTTCTGCCACCACCACCCCCCCCCCATCTCCACAACAGGTTCTTTATCGCCAGCCGCTAGGGACCTTCGGCAGCTCAGCTCAGCCCAGCCCAGGCCCCTAGTTTCGGCAGTGGGGGTGGAGTGGGAACACCTGAGCTGAGGTCGAAGCGTGTGCGTGTGTACGTGTGTGTGTGTGCGTGTGTAGCAGTTTTCTAGGCCGTTGCCTTGGTAATGCCACCTGAGCTGGGCGCCAGGCATCTGTTGTCTGGGAAACTGTAGGCAGGGCCTCTCCCCTAGGAGCTGCCAGGGTTATTGAGCTGAGACTCGAGACAGATCAGATTCCGGAGAGTTCTGAAAGGGTGGGGAGCGCGGAGGGGGAGGATGGGTAATGGGGGCATATTTCCCCACCATCACAGAGTGAATTAGACAGGTGACAAGAGGGAGCGGGCTCAGGCTGAGGCTCATCAGCCTAATTCTCTGTCCCAAGCCAAGAAATTGGCTCCTCTCGTCCCTCTTCTGTTTGTCCTGCCTTCCCGGAATTCCTTTGTTCCCGGGTTTCCACTGGGTCTTGGTACCCCACCCCACCCGCTTTTCACCATTGCTCTGGTTCTGCTACCCAATGGCAGCCTCCAGGTCCTTGCGGGGCTCCTCCCCTGCCTAGGCCTTAAAAACCCGCCTGCAGCCAGCGCCCTCAGACGCCCCAGGTGGCACCTCACAGTTCTCTGCTTTGAGACAAGCTGAGAGAAGACTTCAACCAAGAAAGGAAGTGAGCAGCAGCAGAGGAACACGCCTGTTCCAAGGTCGTGGCGGGTTTGGAGGGTCTGTGACGGGCCCGCAGGCCTCCCAGAGGACACAAGCAATCCAGCTGAGCAGGACCGAAGGACTTCTTTGTATTCAGTGAGTATCAGGTGCTGAGGCCCACAGATGTGAGGTCTGGCCCGGCCTGAGAGCAACAGATCCACCTCCTGAGCAGTTGAGACCCACCCGGAACTCGAACTCCGAGCTCCCAACCCTGTTGAGTGCGTGATTCAGGCTGAGAGCTGAGAAGACCTGAGGAGCGGATGGCTTCTACTGGCCTTGAACTCCTTGGCATGACCCTGGCAGTGCTGGGCTGGCTAGGGACCCTGGTGTCCTGTGCCCTGCCACTGTGGAAGGTGACAGCCTTCATCGGCAACAGCATCGTTGTGGCCCAGGTGGTGTGGGAGGGGCTGTGGATGTCCTGTGTGGTCCAGAGCACCGGCCAGATGCAGTGCAAGGTGTACGACTCACTACTGGCGCTGCCCCAGGACCTCCAGGCTGCCAGAGCCCTCTGCGTTGTTGCCCTCCTGCTGGCTCTGCTGGGCCTGCTGGTGGCGATCACGGGTGCCCAGTGTACCACGTGTGTGGAGGATGAAGGTGCCAAGGCCCGAATTGTGCTCACCGCAGGGGTCCTCCTCCTCCTCTCGGGCATCCTGGTGCTCATCCCTGTCTGCTGGACAGCCCATGCCATCATCCAGGATTTCTATAACCCACTGGTGGCTGAAGCCCTCAAGAGAGAGCTGGGAGCCTCCCTCTACCTGGGCTGGGCAGCAGCTGCGCTGCTCATGCTCGGTGGAGGGCTCCTCTGTTGTACATGCCCCCCATCTCATTTCGAGCGGCCCCGTGGACCCAGGCTGGGCTACTCCATCCCTTCCCGTTCAGGTGCTTCAGGACTGGATAAGAGAGACTATGTGTGAGGCTGAGGCTTCCTCCAGAAGCTCAAACCTGCAGCCTTATGCCCAGGCACTAGGCTGCACCCTTGCATCTCTAATCAACCTCGTGTGCCAGGGACGCTCACTTCTGTTTGGTCAAGACTGGTCTGTCTTGAGCCAACCCTTTGCGGTGGTTGCAATCTTGAGAAAGCGCCAAAACTGTTGGGGACCCTGGCCCATCCCTGCCTCCCAGGGTATTGCTGTGGTTTCCTCTCCTGAACAGACTTACTCTCCTCTCCATGGAGCTGTGCCTTACCCCAGGAACCTGGGCCTCAGCCTCCTTGCCTTCAAAATAAGATGTGCAGTGACCTAACAGCCTTCAGCTGGTCAAGTCTAGCCCAACCACCACCTGAATCCAAGCTGCTCAGTGCCCTACCCGTTCCCCACCCTGAGCTGGGAATAAAAGCACATTGTAACTGAGCTTCCTCTGATCTGTGAAAAGGTATGGGGGTGGGGGTGCTCCAGGTTCCAGCCAGCAAGCATGCTTGCTTAGACCATGGGGTCCGAGCCAGAAAGGCTTGGAATTGATTGTGGAACTGCCACCTCCCTCTAGTTAGGTTCGTACCAAACACCAAGTGACATCGAAGGCACACTATAAAAATCATGTTTTATTTAGTAAAACGTTGTGTGGGTAGGGAAATGTGCAAGGTTAGAGAAAAGGGGGTGAAGGGTCTACAGCACAGCTGGGACCTGATTTGGGGGAGAGTACATGGTAACTTTGGTAATGGGATGTAGGGGCAAAAGGTTGGAAGACTTGGAGTAGAAAATTCTTTGGTAACTTATCACCTGACCTTCCAGGATTGGGAACTCTTGGGACAGGCCATCTTGGGGATCACAAAGGCCAGGTCCATAAGCAGTCTCAGAACAGGTTCTGCAGAAGATGCCCAGAGTGAATAAAGACACAAACTAAAAGTGTCACCCCTCCCGATGCATAATCTAAAAGTGAGAAATGCGAGCTGCAGAGCGAGGCAGAGTCTGGGCTCAGGTTGGGGCAATTAAACTAGAGCTGGAGGTCAGTCAGAGCTCTGTAATGACAGCCTGTCTCAGAACCAGATGAAACCAACCCTAGGGGCTGGTACCATACAGCTCATTGGTAGAGCACTGGCTTACAAGCATGTGGGGCCCCGGGTTCAATATCCAGTACTGCAAAACAGAAACAAACTAAACAACCCAAGACTACTAGGCACCATTTCTTGACGGCTCAGCTCAAGGCCCTATGGCCTGGCCAGTAGTGCCTCACTCCCCAGCGAGCATTAGACATAATTCTTGGTGGGGTATTCAGAGGGTCCACGAGAGACTGAATGTGGGGCAGATGTAGAATAGCGGGCCATGTAATGGCCAGGTCCCCGGGGCCCTCCAGGGGAGCAGGCGCAGCACAACAGCCCTCCACCCAGCAGCAGAAGGCCTGAGGCTGCCCAGCCCAGATAGAGGGAGGCCCCCAGCTCCCGCTTTTGAGCATCAGCTACCAAGGGATTATAAAAGTCTTGAATGATAGAGTGGGCGGTCCAGCAGACAGGAATGAGGGTCAGGACGCTGGAGATGACAAAGACGATCCCAGAGATGAGCACCAGTCGAGACTTGGAATTCTTGTCTTCCACACAGGTAGTACATTTGGCTCCAGCGAGGTAGACCAGTAGGCCAAGCAGGACAACGAGGAGGGTGATGACGCAGAGGGCCCTTGCGGCTTGTAGGTCCTGGGGCAGTGCCAGCAGTGAGTCGTACACCTTGCACTGCATCTGGCCGGTGCTCTGGACCACACAGGACATCCACAGCCCCTCCCACACCATTTGGGCCACAACGATGCTGTTGCCAATGAAGGCTGTCACCTTCCACATGGGCAGGGCACAGGACACCAGGGCATTGACCCAGCCAAGCAGGGTCAGGACGATCCCCAAGATTTGCAGACCGGCGGAGGCCATGGTGAGGCTGAGGAGGCTGTGTAGCATGGGAAGATTGAAACAGAGGAATGTTAGTTAAAGCGTGGCAGGCCCGGATGTCCTATATCTTGCCAGCTGTGATACCAGAATCAAGTACCTTAACAGTTGGCTACAGTGTTCTGCATTGTGGGTTAGATACACTCCCTGGGCCAATCGAAAGTAAAATAAAGATTTAATTCTTCCCTAGTCTGTGACAGGTAAAGCACGAAATCCTGTTTTGTTTTTGTTTTTTTCATGCAGGTTCTAGGAAATTGGACAAAGCAGAAGGCACAGGCCAGGCCAGTGACAGATGCTTTCTCGTACATTTATTTTATTTGAGACAAGGTCTTATGTAGCCCAGGCTTGAACTGCCTCGAACTCCCGTTGTAGCTGAGGCTGATCTTGAACTTCTGACCCTCTTACTCCCACCTCCTTGAGTGCTGGGGTAACAGGCATTTACCACCTGTAACACCTCACACAGATAATGCAGCACTGTGACTGACCTCAGGGCTTCCTGCATGCCAGGCAAGCACTGCAAACTGAGCTACATCCTCAGGTGCATTTTATCAGGTGAGCAGAGGGACACAAAGGGCTGAAAGAAATGGTCGGGCTCTAGCCACAAGTTTCAGGTCCAACCTAAGGCTTCCTCCCACCACCCGAGGCTCAAATGGAAACCCCCAGCTCCAGCCCGGGTTCCATTTCAGGTGGATCTAATTCCTTGAAATCCTAGGCCTAGCCCTCCCCCACGCTCCATTATCTCCTCCCAATCCCTGGGAGTTGCTGGAGGCCCTTCCAGGCCGGGCCCAGCCCACCCTTGCTGAGAGATGAGGAAAAACAAACCCTTTCACCCAAAAGCAGGTTTTTCTAGGCTAGCAGCCGATTCGGTCCAGCCTCCACCTCTGAGGGTCAAGGTGCATGCCCTCAAGAATGGGAGCATTCCTTCGAATTCAGACCAAAGGCCACCATGCTACCTTTCCTCTCTCGACACAGCTTCGTAAGGAGCTAAAGTTCAAGACCCCAGTGCCTTCTGTGGCAGGCTGCACCTGTGTCCTTCACGTCGCACTTCACATTGGTGGTACTAAGGCAATCAGTTATGCTCGTCGCCATGCTGTGGCTCCCCATTACCCTGGTTCTAAGTGTGCACCTTGCACCCAAGAATGGCATAGGCCCCTCTCACTGGCAGTCTCACGCTGGAGTCAACATCTGGAGAGACATTCGCTCCTTCTCATGTCTGTCCCTCTCCACTTACCAAGTGCTCACTCAGCTTTGTCCGAGGGCGTCCTGTCCGGCTCGGCCACCCGGGGCTGGTTGGTTATCAAGCCTAGGAGTGCGCGACCAGGAGGGGCTTAATGGCGGCGGCGCCCGAAGCTGGGTCCGCGCCTGCAGGTGAGGGGGAGGGGAGTCCCGCCCCAGAGAAACCAAGCAGGTGGAGGAGGGGCGTTCCAGGTTTCGGTGTCTTTGTCCCGGGGGAGGGGGAGGGGCGTTTAACTTTTCTGGGGCCGCGGGTACTCGATCGCCTTGAGGGGCTCGATGCAACCACTTCCTGCCTAGGGACTTGCTGACCCAAGTGGCGGCGCCCAGGATCGAAGCTCCAGCTCTCTGCACACGCCCGCAAGCACCCTGCCACATCCCCTGCCCGCTTATCTCCAGGCCCGCAACTCACACTTGCCCCAGGCTGCTCACCTGCAAAACAGACTGCAAAGATTCCCAAGTCGAAAGTAGGGACGAGGGCGGAGGCAAGGGGTCTTAAAGTCGCCATGACGTCACTGGACCACCTCCCTCTGGGAGGGGCAGAGACCCCCTCCCTGTCAACAGCCAGAGTGCTTTTCTCAGCCACGCCACCTGCTACCTGCTGAGTTCTGCGACCCGAGCTGTGACTTGAGAATTCACTCAACTTTCCACAGCCACAGTTTCTTACTTTGCGAATGGAGACAAGTCTGCATGTTACTATGTAAGTCTAAGGTACAAATTAAAGGGCAAATTACTTTTTTTGGGGGGAGGGCTGTCACACTGCATACCTGTGGTCAGAAGACTGATAGCGAAAGTTGGTTCTTGGCTTCCACTCTATAGGCCCTGGGGATCGAACTCAGATTGCCAGGCTTGGCAGCAGGCATCCTTACCCGCTGAGCCATCTCCTTGTTTTTGTATACCCCGAGGCCCTTAAGAAAGCAGTATGTGGGTCTGGAAAGATGGCTCACCGGTTAGGAGCCTTTCTGCTCTTCCAGGTGAACGGGTTTTTTACACCCAGCTTATAACCAACCACCTGTAATTCCATCTCTAGGAGATCCGTTGCCCTCTTCAGGACGCCAGGGACACTCATACACATGTGGCACATACACGTACACAAAAATAAAATAAATCAGCCGGGCGGTGGTGGCGCACGCCTTTAATCCCAGCACTCGGGAGGCAGAGCCAGGCGGATCTCTGTGAGTTCGAGGCCAGCCTGGGCTACCAAGTGAGTTCCAGGAAAGGCGCAAAGCTACACAGAGAAACCCTGTCTCGAAAAACCAAAAAAAAAAAAAAAAAAAAAAAAAAAAAAAAAAAAAAAAAAATAAAATAAATCTTAAAAAAAATAATATAGCATGCATATGCTTGTAGTACTGTTTACTGACTGATACAGGAGAATCCGGAAATAGAGACCAGCCTGGGCTATAAGGCAAGATTCTAATAAAACAAAACAAAACAAACAAAACAAAACAAACAAAATCTAGGTGTGGTGGTGCCTGCCTGCAATCCTAGCACTTGGGAGGCTGAGACAGGAGAACTGTTTCGAGTTTGAGGCTAGCCTGGGATACAGTATGAGATCCTGTCTCAAAAAACCAAAACCAACACAGAGAAACCCCGTCTCGAAAAAAAAAAAAAAAACAAAAAAACCCAAAACCAAACAAAGCAAGCGAACATAAAGGCTGTATGGGTATCGCTCAGTGCTTGCCTGGTGTATTCAATCCTCTGGTTTCCACCCCAGAATTCCAAAATAATAAACATAATTTATTTGGACTTAAAAAAAATATTTTTTTGTTTTTGCAATTACGTCTTATAGCTGATTTCCCTCGCTCCACACCCTTGGGACTAAGGCTCGCAGAGGGAGGAGCAGGGTAGACGTCCTCGCGGCGTTCTAGACACTTGGAGGATTGTGTTGAATGAATGACTTGGTGGACTGCTTGCTCTCGGCACCGCGAAGCCGAGTGGATGTTGGGGCGGGCAGAGGCAGGGGCTCCGCCCCCGCCCCCGCCTTCCGGGGCGGAGCCCCAGCCCCGAGTCTTGGCCCGCGGGTAGTGGGAACAGACTGCTGTTGCCGCGGGACCGGCGGTCATGGCTCCGGGTTGGCCGCGGCCTCTGCCGCAGATCCTCGTGTTGGGACTCGGGTTGGTGCTGATGCGCGCCGCGGCCGGGGAACAGGCACCAGGTATGCTTGGCTCAGAGGACGGTGAACCTCGTATTTGGGGGCTCAGGAACGGAGTTTGGGTGCCTGGAGATGAGTGGAACCGGGTAGACGTGCGGATCTGTGATCCGTGGACTTTAGGCAGCGTGTTCCAAGTGGGGAAGGTCTCAATCCACTCCAAGTTTTATCCACAATCTGAGTCGCAGTTTCGCTACCTGTCCTATCAGGTGTAGGGTCTTTCGTCTCAAAAGTTCGAGCCAGAGTAGAGAGAGAAAGTAAACTTTGAGGGAAAGAGGTTTGTTTTGGGAAGGGGGTATGCCCTCACCCTGGTCTGTAATGGGGTCTGACCAGTCCGATAGCTAAGAATCGCGAGGGGGCACTGGGGTCTTTGCCCTCTATACCATGTGGGGGTGCCCCTTCCATCCGGTGACTTCAATGCCCAGTTATGCGGGAGGAGGGACTGGGGTCGGGCCCAGTGCCCAGGAGTGAGTCACACTCTGGCGGGGGGGGCATCCCCCCCCAAGTCGCGCGCTACCCGACCCCCTCCCGCACTGCCGTGTCTCGGTCAGGCGGTGCGGTCACCTGTGAGGAATGCGGGGGTGGGGGGGCGATGGTGACTCACGTTATTTGAGCCGACTGACCCTGACCTCAGCCCCCAGAATAGCCGCGCCCAGCCGCCAGCTTCTGACTTGCAGCCCCCTCCCCAGGCACCGCCCCATGCTCTAGCGGCAGCTCCTGGAGCGCGGATCTCGACAAGTGCATGGACTGCGCTTCATGTCCGGCGCGACCACACAGCGACTTCTGCTTGGGATGTGAGTGGGGGCGGGGCCGGTGGCGAGCGGATCCTGGAAGTGGGTAGAGGGTTGCTGGGGCGGAGAGGAGGGTCGCGAGCTTAGGACCTAGGAAATCAAGGAGGACTGACTGGGGAAGGGGCTTCTATCCGGTTGGGAACACTCTGTGGGGCAACGTTTGAGACCCCCTTGAGGGCAGACTGGCTTCCCAAGGGCGAGATCTGATTTGAGCCCTGGCCACTAGGCGCAGCGGCACCTCCTGCCCCCTTCAGGCTGCTCTGGCCCATTCTGGGAGGCGCTCTTAGTCTGGCCTTGGTTTTGGCGCTGCTTTCTGGTTTCCTGGTCTGGAGACGGTGCCGGCGGAGAGAAAAGTTTACTAGTAAGTGACCTCCCCACCCTCACTCCTCCCACCTCCCCCATCACTTCTCTAAGTGTCCCCTAATCACAACCCCACTTCTTATCTTCCAGCCCCCATAGAGGAGACTGGTGGAGAGGGCTGCCCAGGTGTGGCACTGATCCAGTGAGGAGCACCCGCGCTGGTGCCCACTCATCGTCCATTCATTCATTCTGGAGCCAGCCTGGCCCTCCAGACACAACCCGAGCCAGACTCTTCCAACCACAAGGGGGTGGGGTGAGGTGGTGATTCACTTCCAAAGACTGGGCTCAGGGTTCAGGGGAGCCTTCTAAGGTGTCTAGATTGCCCTGTCTCTGGTTCCAGGGCAGAGAGCCTCAGGCTGGGTCACAAAGCAACACATACTAAGGAACTGCAGCATTTGCACAAGGGCGTCTCTTGCTCCCCCCAAATCCTGGAGGCCTGGCTGACTTGGGGGGCAGACACACTAGGTCCCACTCTTTCAGATGGGCTGAAATTCAACTACACTTGAGTTCCAGTCCTGGGAGTTGGTCAGATTTAGGGACCTGTTCTTAACACTAAGGGGCTGGCCCTCTGGGAGGGCTGGCCCTAATGCAAACACACAACCCATCCCCTAATGGGGGGGGATATTTATTTGGGGGATAAAGTTTGGAGGGGAGGGAGAATTTATTAATAAAAGAATCTTTAACTTTAAATGGTTTGGAGTATGGCCTGATCCCTAGCCTGACTACCCAGAACTGGAGGGAGGGAGAGAGGGAGTCAGTCGGCCACTGCGGGGGCGGGGGGGTGAGGCTCTGACTCACACATTCTCAATGCCTGGAGCCCAGCCTGCCAGGACCTGGCTTGCCCTCACCGTTTTCCAGGGAAGATTTTGAGGAGAAAACCCCAGCATCCAGCACTCCACCCTTCCCACAGGCTGTTGAGAAACCTTCAACTGCTCAGAAATCTTTATTCACTAATGGGGTGATACTTTCCCTTCCCAAGCTGCTGCCTCTCCCATTCAGGGCTTCATTGAGCTCAGATCATCTATCCTGTTACAGGGGAAGGACCTCATCCCTCTCGGGGGTTGCTGGTCTTTGTTGTCAGGAACAAGGTGAGGAGGGACACTGGCCATCAGCACTTAGAGCTCCATGATATCCCCAGCTGGGGATGCAGGGTAGAAGGGACTGGGGGTATCCCCCAGCCTCAGCAGCCTGAGGGCCTCAGGGATCAGGCTCCCAGGATAGCGCCAGAGAAGCAGCTCTGGGCAAGGGCTCCTGAAAGAAGAAAAAAAGACAGTGAAAGTATGGGGCAGAGGCTGGCCTAGCAAAGCCACCTCCTACCAGGTCCAGGTCCCCTGGAGCCAAAGATGGAAAACAGCACAGAAGTTGGCTAGAAGCTAAAAATAGCATGATGAGGCAGAGCATGAGGAGGGGCTCTGAGGACCGAACGTGATCCTCTAGAAGGCCCTGCAAGGGGAGGTGCCTACCTGAGTGGTGGCAGGGCTTGGGGAAAAGTCACAGGGGGACTGCAGTAGGGGTGGTCATTATGTAGGCTGAGTCGGGAGAAGTGGGTGGCCATGTTCTCGTCAGACAGAAACTGCTTGTGCAAGGGTTCCCTGGGGGAAAGACCAGAGGCACGGAGGCAGGGATGTTGAGGGTGGAGGCAAACTGATGAGGACCAAAGGTGACATCTAAGGAGACCCATCTGCCCCCAACTTAATGCTCTTTCTCCAGGGGTCTCCATGCTCATGGGCACAGCTCTTAGGAGAGGAGAGCTGGGAAATAGAGCCAGGTGTAGCCCACCTTTCCCCTTCCCGAAGATCTGCCCACCTGAGCCTGCGGAGTAAGCCAGGATTCCAGAATCAGTCGTGTCTGTGTGGCCTAAGCCACCTTCCTCTCCCAGGCCATCATCCACCAGGCTACCTCGGAAATCCTGGCCGTGGCTTCCCAGCTACGACACAAGCTCAAGCACCACGGTTTCCTGCACCACCTCGCCTCACTTCCTAGGATCACCCTAGTGACCGGCCCTGGGTCGCCAGCCAGAGCTCTTACCCTCCGTTAGTCCGGCCCACCCGGGGACCGCTTACGCACCTGGCGTCCAGGCCGCGAGTCACCCCAGTGGTGGCCCGTGGGTCCCGACTCGGGGGGCCTCGTTCCAGGGGCTGTTGTAGGATCATTACGGTTCGGGGTCCTGCAGATAGAGGGGTGGGATCCAGGCGGCAGAGGCGGAGCCTTTGAGGGCGTGGTACAACGGGAGGGGCGGGGCCACGGCGTGCGCACTGGAGACGTTCTACGCAGGCGCGGAAGGCGAGCAGCGCGAGGTTAGAAGGCGGGACGGGTCGGCGGGGTGGGGGAGGGGATTACGCGTAGCTGGACCGTCTCAGACGCTACTCAGCATAAGCGTGCTTCGCGGAGCTCTCCTAGGTTTCGGTGGTTCGAGACAGTACGGGCCTGCCGCCTTAGTTGTTGAACGGCAGGCAGTGCCAGGTCCTGGCGCGCAACGAGAAGAGCCACTCTCAGACACGTAGGGAGTCGAGAGGTTGTGTCGCGCGTAGAGCCCTCTGGGACTTGTAGTTCTGAAGATGGAGCACGCCACACCGTCCCCGATGCCTCTGGGTCAGGTGAGTCGAGTGTGAGCACAGTGCCTTCTGGGGTTTGTAGTCTTGCCCTGCCTGGGTGGCCAAGGGCTACTCAGGATACCCAGTGTGCGGAGCTGGTTTGTGGGACTCGGACTCAGACCCCCAAAATGATGACCCTGATCTTTGGAATCTAATTGTGACAATCAGAGGGATTAGATGTCAGTACATTTTACTGTGAAGGATAATAAAGTCACTTAAAAAGATTTAGCACCGTTGGACGTGGTGCCACCCGCCTTTAATCCCAGTACTGGGGAGGCAGATGCAGACATACCTCAGTGAGTTAGAAAGTAGCCTGCTGCATAGCGAGTTCCAGGTCATCCAGGGCTACATAGTGAGACCCTGACTTTAAAAAAAGTTAATCATGCCGGGCGGTGGTGGCGCACGCCTTTAATCCCAGCACTCGGGAGGCAGAGCCAGGCGGATCTCTGTGAGTTCGAGGCCAGCCTGGACTACCAAGTGAGTTCCAGGAAAGGCGCAAAGCTACACGGAGAGACCCTGTCTCGAAAAACCAAAAAAAAAAAAAAAAAAAGTTAATCATAATTGTACATGAGCCTTTTTTTTTAAACCCAGGGCCTTGGGCATTGTAAGAACATGCTCTATCGTTTAGTTACACTCAAGCTTATTTGTGAGACAGTCTCATATATCTCCAGCTTTCTTTGAACTATGTTATATAATGGAGAATGACCTTGAACTTATGTTCCTCGAGCCTTTACCTCTGAGTGTTGTGGGTTATTAGGTGTGCCATAATGCCCAATATATACAGTACTGATACTTAAACACAGGACTTTGGGTTAGAATAGGCTTTAGCAGTTGGAGAGAGAGAGAAGAGGACCCGAGTTTGGTTCCAAACACTCAAGTTCCAAAGCTTGTAATTGCCTGTACCTCCAGCTCCAAGGGATCTGAATCCTCTGGCTTCTGTGAACATCTGTACTCACTTGCACTTACTCCCCTCACACACATATACACATAATTAAGAGCAATAAAATAAATCTTAAAAAACAAAACAAAACAAAAAAGCATGAGCCAGATGGTGGCGGGAGCAAGTGCCTTTAACCCCAGCACTGGGTGGGGGAGGCAGAGGCAGGTGGATCTGAGTTCCAGGCCAGCCTGGTCTACAGAGTGAGTTTCAGGACAGCCAGGGGCTACACAGAGAAACCCTGTGCCCCGCCCCCCAAAACAAACAAATAAATAAATAAGAGCATGGTCTACCTGGGGCTACACAGAGAAACCCTGTGCCCCGCCCTCCCAAAATAAATAAATAAATAAATAAGAGCATGGTCTACCATTTGAGGAGTTACCGTAGTCACAAGAGCCACTTCATCGTTTGGAAACCAGTTTTCATGAAGTACATCGAGCTGGCCTGCTTCTTCCTCTCAAGTGTTGCGATTAAAGCCTTGCCACTACACTAGGCCCGCTAATTCCCTGTGAGATTTATTCATTGTTTTATGTCTATAAATGTTTTATGTTTGCTGTGTGTGTTTATGGTACCCTCAGAGGCCAGAAGAGGCAGGGGACTGGAGAGATGGCCCAGTGGTTAAAAGCACTTGCTACTCTTCCAGAGGTACCAAGTTCAGTTTCCAGCACCCATATAGGAGTGAGTTTACAGATGCCTGTAATGTAGTTCCAGGAGATCCAACACCCCTTTTTAGTCTTCATGGGCACTCATATACACAGCGCATACATACAAATTTTAAGAAGAAACCAAACCAAAACAAAAATACAACAAACAATAAACAAGGCCTAATGACTTAAGGCCTTTAATCCCAGCACTTGCAAGGCAGAAGTAGGGAGATCTCTGTGAGCCCAGCTTGATCTACATAGTGAGTTCTGGGGACAGGTGGGCTTCCTGTGAGAGCCTCTCTGAGGCAGGGGAGGTGACATCAGATCTCCTGGAACTGGAGTTACAGATGGTTGTGACCTACCATGTGGGTGCTGTGAGAGTCCTCTGCAAGAGTTATGTGCTAGCCATCTCTCCGTGTACACACACACACACACACACACACACACACACACACACACACACTTTTTTTTAAAGGTTGATTTATTATTTTTACTCAGTTTTTTGAGACACAGTTGACATATTTCAGGCTGGCCTGGAGTTTGTCATGGAGTGGAGGATGTCCTCCTGCCTCCACCTCCTGAGTGCCAGGGTCACAGGCCACAGTGTACTTGCTTTATGCAGTGTGCAGTGCTGGGGATTGAGTTTAAGGCTTGGTGCATGCTGACCAAGTACTCTATCAATTCAATTACATCCTCAGATGTGTGTGTGTGGATTTGAGACTATCTCATGTAGCCCAGGCTACCCTTGAATTATCACTGATCCTCCTGCTTCCGCCTGTCCAGTGCTGGGACTATAGTTGTATACTACTACATCTGACTACAAAGCTCTTAATATTCATTAGTTTACCTAATTATGACAGATTTCCTGCGAGTGCCTTCTGTCTGTTAAGCTGACAGGAGAGGCGTGGTGCTTGCTGGGTTTTAGGTAACGTACCTCGGTTCCCCTTTTCACACACTCTTCCTGGAGCCACTCTTTTTTTTAAGATTTGTTTATTTATTATGTTCTGCCTGCATTGCCCGTGCACGCCAGAAGAGGGCACCAGATCTCATTACAGATGGTTGGTGAGCCACCATGTGGTCACTGGGAATTGAACTCAGGACCTCTGGAAGAGCAGTCGGTGCTCTTAACCGCTGGGCCATCTCTCCAGCCCTGGAGCCACTCTTGTATGGGGAGATAACTGTGGTTATGGCTGAGAAGGGCTGGAGTCTGGGCAGGGGAGACAGACAGGAATCTGTAGGAGGCCCCAGACTCTCCTCATCTACCTTCTTCCCACAGGCTGAGGTATTTCAGGCCCTGCAGCGACTCCACATGACCATCTTTTCCCAGAGTGTCTCGCCCTGTGGGAAGTTTCTGGCAGCTGGCAACAATTATGGGCAGATTGCCATCTTCAGGTACCCTCTACTCTGATCCCCCCCACACACACACACATGAGCCTTCTGGGATTAATGCTCCTTGTCTCTGACTCCTGTTCCTCCCACCTTTCTTTCAGTTTATCTGCTGCCTTGAGTTCAGAG